GCCCAATACTCCAATCGAATCAGCACTCCACCGCAAACCACCACCCACAGCAGCGTCGCGACACTGCTGTGGGGTCGCAGCATCGCTGCAGCACGTCGCTGCTGCTGCGATTCGCAGCAAGGAGGGGAGGGGGAGGTGGAGCCGTGGAGGGGGAGGGAAGAGAGAGGGGAGGCGAGACCACCGGCGAGAGAGAGAGAGAGAGGGGAAGGGGAAGGGGAATGAGTGAAAAATTAGGGTTAAGAGTTTTTATATCACCTGATTTTTGAATAATAAAACTTGGTCCCTGAATTTTAAATTCCAATCTTTAAACACCTGAATTATTATAATTTCCCAAAATTCTATAGACCAATATGAAACCCATTATTGGTCGGAGGCCCAACTTGTTTGGAATTTCCTCTTTTCTTTTTATTTTTTAATACCCAAATTTCAAGGCTACCAACAACGTAGGTCCAGTAAACCTTGGCTGGTCCCCTTCGCACTCGAATACTGCCCCCACTCCCTTCCCTGAAGCCCCAATCCCCAGAGCCACTTTCCCTCGCAATTTCCTCTTTTTCTTTATCTTGAATTTCATTAAAGGCTGGAACAAAGATATAGCTGAAATTTTCACATTTTTCAGAGAGAATTAGAAAGGGAAAGGATATGAAAATGGAAAAAGAATCCCAAAATTCCCTCATCCAAGTTAAAGGAATTCCCACTCATGGCGGAAAATACAATCAGTACAACATCCTCGGCAATCTATTTGAAATCCCTTCCAAATACATCCCTCCCGTCATCCCCGTTGGTCGTGGCGCTTATGGCCTCGTTTGGTAAATTATTTTTAATTATTACTTTATCGTTTGAATCTGATTGCTCGATTTAGCTTTAGATGGATCGAATAGTTGGTTTGAGCTTTCTGGGTTAAGATACAATATTCAGCGTTGTGTTTACATTGAAGCGATATTGGAACAATTTTAACTCTATTGTACTTGTGGCAGCTGTGCGACGAATGCTGAAACTAAGGAAGAAGTGGCTATAAAGAAAATTGGGAGTGCATTTGATAATAGAATTGATGCTAAAAGGACTTTGCGTGAAATTAAGCTTCTTACTCATATGGACCATGAGAATGTGAGGCTTTTTTAAATTTGTTTCATTGGGTTTCCTTTTGTGATGTTCTTCATCCTTGTTAATTGTTGAAGATTCTTGATGTATGAGATATGCTTATGCAGATTATTAAAATAAAAGATATTATACGGCCACCAGAGAAAGAGAAATTCAATGATGTTTATATTGTGTATGAATTGATGGATACGGATCTGCATCAGATTATACAGTCATCCCAGGAACTCAGTGAGGATCACTGCCAAGTAAGTTTGCAATGACAAGTGACAGATTTATTTGTTCGGCGAGCATTTACTCTGCTTCTACAATTAATTTTTGCTATGCAGTAGCTATAATTAAGTTATGCTTTTTTTTTTTTGGATGAGTAAGGATAGTTATTAAAAAAAATTCGTTTTGACAGTCATCTATTGAGTTACTCTGAAAGATCTAAATGAACGGTTTGTGCGTTTTCATGTTTTAATTTGCATATTGATTAATTAGTACAAGATAAATGGTTTTTGTATTTCAAAAGAAGGAAAAGTTGCTAATAAGGAAAATGCTTTGTGTGACATTTTCTGTGTCTTCAAAGCTGAAGTTTGGATTTGAAATTTTCGAATATGGATGAAAGATTAAGAATAACAACATATAAGAAGGTTATTCAACTAGCCACTAAGCTTTATCCATGGTTTCTTTTCCACATCTTTCCTTAAACATAATGCACCGAGTCAATCACAAATTACATTCTTTGCTCAACATCTTCTTCTACTTTATCTTTCAAGTTCTAGACAACGGGTAAATGAATTGAAATTTGAATTAGAAACATATCGCCAGGCTGAAGAAAGTACAATATGGCTGTCTGGGTTTCTATCTACAATTTCTCGTGGCAGTTTCATTTGGAAGAATGATTTTCCATGTTTTGAGGGCATTAGGTGGAGGTCTCCCAAAAATGTAGTCAATCAAGTCATCCTCCCCAGTAATTGATTTACATCAATTTTTTTATATATCCTGGGGAACTTGACACTATAAAATGTTGGAAAATGATATTGAATGAAAAGTTACTCATACATCTATTATCAATTTTATCAGTTTCATCCTTTCCAAAAAAAAAAAATCAACTATCTTCAGTTTCAGAATTTTATCTTCAATGTTATAACTCTTTTATTCAATTGTATTAATGAGCAGACTCTTCCTCTATAGGTATAAATAGAAGATCTCTCTCGATTGGAAAAACACAAGTGAAATACAAGCTTATTCCTTCCAGAAATAAAAAAACTTCTTCTTTCCAGTTTTTAAAGTTCTTCCTTTTCTGATTGCATTGAGAGATATAGTATATCACAGCTAGTTCGTAGGCGATTAACGTAGTGCTGCGTGAACCGACAACCGATTGTATTTTGGGAATCAAACACCAATCAAAACCTCTTGCACTTCGGTGAGGCGGCGAATTCGATTTAAGGAAATTGTGAATACACAGGTCTTCGGTTTGATTTTATTTTTTAATATTTACCCACAAGTTTAAATCGAATTCGGTTTTGGTGAATCAAATTTTGTTCATCAGTTTCTGTTAATTTTCCCAGTTCGTGTTTTTTTTTCCATTATTTCAATTCACCATTTACATAAAGTTGCATTGAGGTAGATTTTCGAGTCGTTCAAAATTGAAAGGAATGAAAAAAAATTACAGGAAGTTCGGTCTTTGCATGATTTCAAGTTGGTGGTGGTTTTGCATGGTTTAATAGATGGTTTGGCATGATTTTGTCAACTTGCATGGTTTTAAAATCATTTGGTAATGATTATTTAACTATTTTATAATTACTAGTCATGATTGCCTCATTATTTGTAATGATAGCTTACGTTTCTTTTAATGATTAATTCCAATTATTAGTTAATGATTTCTAATTCATTTTAAATGATTGTTAAAGTTGTTAATTATTTGACAGAATAGCCTGTTCTTCAATTTTACAGTTTTTTTCCCCGATCAGATAACGAATTTATAATTATTTTAAATTTTTTGTTGCTTGTTTGGTTCAATGGCGTCACATGAAAATGACGATGTGAACAACGGAAGCAACACTGTTGGTACTGGTGTACCAAATCCTGCAATGAACGCTGTTAACCCTATGGAGACCACGACTGACATTCCTTCCATTGACGGGATAATTGGAGGTAGGATTCCTCATGTTGGAGTGAACCCAACTTTGCCGAAGGCTGCGGCCTCGGCAATCTAGTTTGGTGCGGCATCTTTGCCAGTGCCTAGGTTTGCGGCCGCAACATCTTTGCTATCGTTTCCAGCTCAATTTCTGGTGAATCATGCAATTCGACCGGATAAGTTTGCTGATACTGATTTTAGGACATGACAGAATAAGATGGTTTTCTATCTCACTACGTTGGGCCTTGTACGTTTCCTCACTAAGGATGAAACGACACTGATGCGCATAGGCGTGTAGCTTGGGACGCTTGGAAAATTGTTGATTTTTTGTACCGCAACTATGTCCGGACGGCCTACAGAATTCTTTATATCACGTATATGTGGTAAAGAAGTTTGCCAAGGAGCTTTCGGAGTTCTTAGAAAAGAAATACAAGACCAAGGATGCTGGGTCTAAGAAATTCGTGGCCAGTCGGGGTATGGACTTCGAAATGGTTGATTCACGTTCAGTGGTGAACCAAGTGTAGGAGTATCAAGTTCTTTTGCAAGAAATGCATGCTGAGGTTCTGACTATATTAGAATCTCTACAGGTGGCTACCGCTATTCACAAGCTACCTCCTCAGTGAAAGGCTTTTAAAGCTATTTGCAACATAAGAGGACAGAGATGCCTTTCGAGGATTTAATTATCAAGCTGCGCATTGAGGAGGATAACAAACAGGCTGAACGAAAGTCAGAGAATTCTTACTCTAAGAAGGCTAATGTATTGGAGCACGGTCAAAGTTCGGTACTACGAGCGGTCAATCCTTTAAAGCCAGTAGGGTAATGAAAATCAAAAGGATAAAAAGCAGGCTACGAAAGGGTCACAGTTGAAGCCTCCAGGCTCCAGGTGGGGTAGGAAAGAAACTTAAGTTCCAGTTCAATGGAAAGTGCTTCAATTGGGACAAAGTTGGGCATTGATCAGCAGACTGTTGTTGCCTCGGAGGGATAACAAGCTGCGTCCTCAGGCCAATATGGTTGGAAATGAGAGAGATCATCTCTCAGATGACATGTCTAACCTAAACCTCACGACGGTGA